TACCCAAACCTCCATCCCCATGGTGCCCACTTCCCCAAGGTGGTACCCAAACCTCCATCCCCATGGTGCCCATCTCCCCAAGGTAGGGTGGTGTCATCCCTGTCCCCAGGGTGGTCTGAGCCCCATGCCCATCTCCCTGGGTTGGTCCCCACCTCATGCCCATCTCCCTGTGGTGGTTGCCAACCCATCATGTGTCCCCAAGGTGGTATCCAGCCACGTCCCTGTCTCCCCAGGGTGGTCCACACCCCATCCTGTGTCCCCATGGTGGTTCATAGCCATGTCCCCATCTCCCCAGGGTGGTCCCAGCCCTGCACCCATCTCCATGGATTGGTCCCCATCCCATGCCCGTGTCCCCAGGGCGGTGCCAGCCCTGTCCCTGTGTCCCAAGGGTGGTCTGAGCCCTATGCCCATCTCCTTGGGTTGGTCCCCACCTCAAGCCCATCTCCCCAAGGTGGTGCCAGCCCTGTCCCTGTGTCCCCAGGGTGGTCCCAGCTCTGTGCCCATCTCCTTGTGGTGGTCGCCACCCCATCCTGTGTCCCCAGGGTGGTATCCAGCCATGTCCCAAATCTTGCCAGGGTGGTCCAAGCCCCATGCCCATCTCCCTGCAGCGGTCCCTACCCCATCCTGTGTCCCCAGGGTGGTATCCAGCCATGTCCCCATCTCCCCAGCATGGTCCCCACCCCATCCTGTGTTCCCAGGGTGGTTCATAGCCATGTCTCCATCTCCCCAGGGTGGTCCCAGCCCTGCACCCATCTCCCTGGGATTGGTCCCCACCCCATCCTGTGTTCCCAGGGTGGTCCGAGACCTATGCCCATCTCCCTGGGTTGGTCCCCACCTCATGCCCATCTCACTGTGGTGGTCGCCACCCCATCCTGTGTCCTAAGGGTGGTATCCAGCCATGTCCCCATCTCCCTAGGGTGGTTCCCACCCCATCCTGTATCCCCAGGGTGGTATCCAACCATGTCCCCGTGTCCCAAGGGTGGTCTGAGCCCCATGCCCATCTCCTTGGGTTGGTCCCCACCTCATGCCCATCTCCCTGTGGTGGTCGCCAACCCATCCTGTGTCCCCATGGTGGTTCATAGCCATGTCCCCATCTCCCCAGGGTGGTCCCAGCCCTGCACCCATCTCCATGGATTGGTCCCCATCCCATGCCCGTGTCCCCAGGGCGGTGCCAGCCCTGTCCCTGTGTCCCAAGGGTGGTCTGAGCCCTATGCCCATCTCCCTGGGTTGGTCCCCACCCCTTGCCCATGTCCCCAAGGTGGTCCCAGCCCTGTCCCCGTGTCCCAAGGGTGGTCTGAGCCCTATGCCCATCTCCTTGGGTTGGTCCCCACCTCATGCCCATCTCCCTGTGGTGGTTGCCAACCCATCATGTGTCCCCAAGGTGGTATCCAGCCCTGTCCTCATCTCCCCAGGGTGGTCCCTACCCCATCCTGTGTCCCCAGGGTGGTATCCAGCCATGTCCCCATCTCTCCAGGTTGGTCCCAGCCCTGTGCCCATCTCCCTGGATTGGTCCCCATCCCATGCCCGCGTCCCCAGGGTGGTGCCAGTCCTGTTCCCGTGTCCCCAGGATGGTCTGAGCCCCATGCCCATCTCTCTGGCTTGGTCCTCACCTCAAGCCCATCTCCCCAGGGTGGTCCCAGCCCTGCCCCTGTGTCCCCAGGGTGGTCTGAGCCCCATGCCCATCTCTCTGGCTTGGTCCTCACCTCAAGCCCATCTCCCCAGGGTGGTCCCAGCCCTGCCCCTGTGTCCCCAGGGTGGTCTGAGCCCCATGCCCATCTCTCTGGCTTGGTCCTCACCTCAAGCCCATCTCCCCAGGGTGGTCCCAGCCCTGCCCCTGTGTCCCCAGGGTGGTCTGAGCCCCATGCCCATCTCTCTGGCTTGGTCCTCACCTCAAGCCCATCTCCCCAGGGTGGTCCCAGCCCTGCCCCTGTGTCCCCAGGGTGGTCTGAGCCCCATGCCCATCTCTCTGGCTTGGTCCTCACCTCAAGCCCATCTCCCCAGGGTGGTCCCAGCCCTGCCCCTGTGTCCCCAGGGTGGTCTGAGCCCCATGCCCATCTCTCTGGCTTGGTCCTCACCTCAAGCCCATCTCCCCAGGGTGGTCCCAGCCTTGTCCCTGTGTCCCCAAGGTGGTCTGAGCCCGATGCCCATCTCCCTGGGTTGGTCCCCACCTCATGCCCATCTCCCTGTGGTGGTTGCCAACCCATCATGTGTCCCCAAGGTGGTATCCAGCCACGTCCCTGTCTCCCCAGGGTGGTCCACACCCCATCCTGTGTCCCCATGGTGGTTCATAGCCATGTCCCCATCTCCCCAGGGTGGTCCCAGCCCTGCACCCATCTCCCTGGGTTGGTCCCCACCCCATGCCCGAGTCCCCAGGGTGGTCTGAGCCCCATGCCCATCTCTCTGGGTTGGTCCCCACCCCATGCCCATGTCCCTGTGGTGGTCACCACCCCATCCTGTGTCCCCAGGGTGGTATCCAGCCACGTCCCCATCTCTCCAGGGTGGTTCCCACCCCATCCTGTGTTCCCATGGTGGTTCATAGCCACGTCCCCATCTCCCCAGGGTGGTCCCAGCCCTGCACCCATCTCCCTGGATTGGTCCCCACCCCATGCCCGAGTCCCCAGGGTGGTCTGAGCCCCATGCCCATCTCCCTGGGTTGGTCCCCACCCCATGCCCATGTCCCTGTGGTGGTCACCACCCCATCCTGTGTCCCCAGGGTGGTATCCAACCGCGTCCCCATCTCCCCAGAGTGGTCCCCACCTCATCCTATGTTCCCAGGGTGGTTCATAGACATGTCCCCATCTTCCCAGTTGGTGCCAGCCCTGCGCCCATCTCCCTGGGTTGGTCCCCACCCCATGCCCATGTCCCCAGGGTGGTGCCAGCCCTGTCCCCGTGTCCCCAGGGTGGTCTGAGCCCTATGCCCATCTCCTTGGGTTGGTCCCCACCTCATGCCCATCTCCCTGTGGTGGTCGCCACCCCATCCTGTGTCCCCAGGGTGGTATCCAGCCACGTCCCCATCTCTCCAGGGTGGTTCCCACCCCATCCTGTGTTCCCATGGTGGTTCATAGCCACGTCCCCATCTCCCCAGGGTGGTCCCAGCCCTGCACCCATCTCCCTGGATTGGTCCCCACCCCATGCCCGAGTCCCCAGGGTGGTCTGAGCCCCATGCCCATCTCCCTGGGTTGGTCCCCACCCCATGCCCATGTCCCTGTGGTGGTCACCACCCCATCCTGTGTCCCCAGGGTGGTATCCAACCGCGTCCCCATCTCCCCAGAGTGGTCCCCACCTCATCCTATGTTCCCAGGGTGGTTCATAGACATGTCCCCATCTTCCCAGTTGGTGCCAGCCCTGCGCCCATCTCCCTGGGTTGGTCCCCACCCCATGCCCATGTCCCCAGGGTGGTGCCAGCCCTGTCCCCGTGTCCCCAGGGTGGTCTGAGCCCTATGCCCATCTCCTTGGGTTGGTCCCCACCTCATGCCCATGTCCCCAAGGTGGGATGGGGGTGGTGATGAGTGGGCATCCCCCTCCCCCAGCCTCACCTGGCACGGCTGGTCCTGGCAGGTGGGACAACTGGTGACACCGTGCGCCTGCAGGTCCATATCTCCAAAAGCCACCTCCTCCCCTTGGATGCGGAGCCGGCGCACGCAGCCTGCAGAGGGAGGGAGATGGGGTGAGGGGGTGTGACACGATGCTCCCCCAGCACCCCAAAGCCTGGTTGTGCCCCCCCCTCCTCCCCCAAAACCCCATCACTCACCCATGAACCCACGGCTGAGCCCCGTCTTGGTCACGGCGTCGAAATCGGGGTACCCCCCCAGGTACAGCTCCTCGTTCAGATCCAGCCCTTGAAACTTCCCCTGCGGGCACAGGCGGGTTGGGCACCACCTCCAGCAGCCTGACCCCCACCCAACACACAGCCCACCCCCAAAAAAACATACCTGGGAGGTCCCGTTCACCGGGGGGTGCCCGTCCAGCTCCAGCGAACCCCGGGTGAGGTTGCGGAGGAGACGCACGGTGTGGTACTCGCCCAACCGCAGCGGCGTCGGGTGCCGGATGGTGGCCATGCCCGAACCGGCGTCAAACCTTATGGTTTTGGGGTAAAATGGGTGTCGGAAGGTGCTGGCACCCATTTCCCCACCCCCCCTGCCCCCCCGTCCCATAGCACCCACTCGGGGGTCTCACCTAAACTCGGGGCGGCCGCCCACCAAACCGAAGGAGATGAAGTCGGCGCCGCTGGTTTTCCGTTGCCCGTTGTAGAGGAGAAGACCTGGAGGGGGGCAGCGGGTCAGGCAGGATGGTCCCCACCCCGGGGAGCCGGGGGGTGACATCCTGGGGGACCCCAAAACACCCCCAGGATGGAGGAGGAGAACCCCCTCCCCATCAGGCAGGTGTGTGGGTGGGTTGAATAGAGAATGGGAGCTCCAGGAGAGGATGGAGGGAGGGATGGAGAGGGGAAGGAGGAGGAAAGGATGGAGGGGACATGGAGGGGACACTGAGGGGGACATGGGGGTCCCGGGGGCGCTCACCATCAGCAGCATCAGGTCGGAAGGTGATGAGGATCTCAAACTTCTTGTAGGCGTCCTTGATGGTGGGCAGGGGGAGGAAGGAGCGGGGCGTCTGCCCGAAATAGGGGACCAGGCGCTCTGCGGGGACAGGGCCGGGGGAAGGGGGTCAGGACGGGGTGGGGGTACATCACCCCCACCTCACCCTGTCCGTCCATCTGTCCGTCCATCTGTCCATCCTCACCTCGGACCTTGAGGACATAGTAAGCTGTCTCCTGGCCGCGGTGGTTGGTGGCGGCGCAGGCGTAGACACCGGAGTCCTCGTGGCGCACGGCCGGCAGCGTCAGCACGTTCCCCTCCACCCGGGCACCCGCCGGCAGCCCTTCCATCCATCATCCGTCCATCCATCCATCCATCCATCTGTCCCCCCCACCTCACCCTGTCCGTCCATCTGTCCGTCCATCTGTCCATCCTCACCTCGGACCTTGAGGACATAGTAAGCTGTCTCCTGGCCGCGGTGGTTGGTGGCGGCGCAGGCGTAGACACCAGAGTCCTCGTGGCGCACGGCCGGCAGCGTCAGCACGTTCCCCTCCACCCGGGCCCCCGCCGGCAGCTCCCCCTCCAGCTGGGGCACAGCGGGGTGACGGGGAGGGGTGTCACCACCATGGGGTGCTCCCACACACACACCCTGCACCCCCATCCCTGCATCCCCCCCACCCCAGTGCCCACCGGCAGCTCCCCCTCCAGCTGGGGCACAGCAGGGTGATGGGGAGGGAGGTCACCAGCCATGGGGTGGTCCCCCCCCACACCCTGCACCCCCATCCTGCATCCCCCCACCCCAGTGCCCACCGGCAGCTCCCCCTCCAGCTGGGGCACAGCAGGGTGATGGGGAGGGAGGTCACCAGCCATGGGGTGGTCCCCCCCCACACCCTGCACCCCCATCCTGCATCCCCCCACCCCAGTGCCCACCGGCAGCTCCCCCTCCAGCTGGGGCACAGCAGGGTGATGGGGAGGGAGGTCACCAGCCATGGGGTGGTCCCCCCCCACACCCTGCACCCCCATCCTGCATCCCCCCACCCCAGTGCCCACCGGCAGCTCCCCCTCCAGCTGGGGCACAGCAGGGTGATGGGGAGGGAGGTCACCAGCCATGGGGTGGTCCCCCCCCACACCCTGCACCCCCATCCTGCATCCCCCCACCCCAGTGCCCACCGGCAGCTCCCCCTCCAGCTGGGGCACAGCAGGGTGATGGGGAGGGAGGTCACCAGCCATGGGGTGGTCCCCCCCCACACCCTGCACCCCCATCCTGCATCCCCCCACCCCAGTGCCCACCGGCAGCTCCCCCTCCAGCTGGGGCACAGCAGGGTGATGGGGAGGGAGGTCACCAGCCATGGGGTGGTCCCCCCCCACACCCTGCACCCCCATCCTGCATCCCCCCACCCCAGTGCCCACCGGCAGCTCCCCCTCCAGCTGGGGCACAGCAGGGTGATGGGGAGGGAGGTCACCAGCCATGGGGTGGTCCCCCCCCACACCCTGCACCCCCATCCTGCATCCCCCCACCCCAGTGCCCACCGGCAGCTCCCCCTCCAGCTGGGGCACAGCAGGGTGATGGGGAGGGAGGTCACCAGCCATGGGGTGGTCCCCCCCCACACCCTGCACCCCCATCCTGCATCCCCCCACCCCAGTGCCCACCGGCAGCTCCCCCTCCAGCTGGGGCACAGCAGGGTGATGGGGAGGGAGGTCACCAGCCATGGGGTGGTCCCCCCCCACACCCTGCACCCCCATCCCTCCATCCCCCCCCCATTCCCCATCTCACCTTGCTCCAGGTGATCTCCGGCACCGGGAAGCCCGATGCCAAACAGGGCAAAACAGCCGCCGAACCCAAGGAGACCTCCTTCACCTCCGGCTGCCCGGCGATCTGGGGGGTGGCTGGGGTGGCACGGAGGTGTCACCACCCCGTGGGTGACACCTCCTTACCCGTCCCCATCCACCTCCGTGCCCTGTGTCCCCCCCCTGGTCCCTCACCTTGCACGTGGAGGATGACGTGGGACTGGACGGTGCCCACGGCGTTGGTGGCGGTGCAGCGGTACTGCCCGGCGTCCGCCCGCTCCACCCGTTGGATGGTGAGGGTGCCGGCCTGGACCAGCACCCCGGGGCGGATACGGCCCCCCACTTTGCTCCAGGTGACGTGGGGACGGGGATCACCCAAGCCCAGGCACTCCAGCTCCACCGTTGTCCCCGCCAGCACCGTCTGCACCGCCGTCCGGATGTTGATCAGGGCCCTGGGGAGAGCTTGGGGGGGACAAGGGGGGACAGTGGGGTTTTGGGGTGTCCCCCCCCCAACCCCAGCATGGGGGAGGCATCACAGTCCAGGTTGTGAACGGGAGGAGTGAAAGATGGGGGAGAAATGGGGTGCTCGAGGGCATGGGGACACCACTGGGGGTCCATGGGCATGGGGGTGTTGGGGTGCTCACAGGCATGGGGAGAGATGGGGGGTACCAGGCTGCTCAGGGGTGTGGGGAGAGATGGGGGGTACTGGGGTACACATGGGTGTGGGGAGAGGTTGAGGGTGTTGGGGTGCCCATGGGCATGGGGAGAGATGGGAGGTACCAGGGAGTCCATGGGAATGGGGAGAGATTTGGGATATTGGGGTGCCCATGGGCATGGGGAGAGATGGAGGGTACTGGGATACACATGGATGTGGGGGGAGATTAGGGATACTGGGGTGCCCATGGGCATGGGGAGAGATTGGGGGTGTTGGGGTACACATGGGTGTGGGGAGAGATTTGGGATATTGGGGTGCCCATGGGCATGGGAAGAGATTGGGTGTACTGGGGTACACATGGATGTGGGGAGAGATTGGGGATATTGGGGTGCCCATGGGCACGGGGAGAGATGGGGGGTAGCAGGGAGCGCAGGGGGGCGGGGA